AGATTTTAGAGTTTCAATCCCAATGTAGCCCGTTTAGTTCATCATGTGAAGGAGGGCTGGTGGATGTGTGTAGTGTTTATTCGGAATATTGGTGGCTGTATACAGTTGGTGTATGACTTGAGGGACCACCACTTAAAATCCCGCCGTACCCGAAAAGCCCAATATCCTTTAACTAGGGAAGATACGTACCCTAAGTCAGTTTAGGGTTTAGGGATCCAAGTTTCATGTAGAGTAGATTCCCTGATTGAGGGCTATTATGTTTTTTGGGTACATCTTCCCGCGGACGGCCGTAAACCCTAAACCCTAAATCCTAGACCCTAACTCCTAAACCCCAAGCCTAAACCCTAAACCCCAAATCCTAAACCTCAAACCCTCAACCCTCAGGTGGATGGGAGTTCCGAGCGGTGGACAGCAGTGAAGGGGCAGCAACTGATTGTGAAGACAGCTGAAGAGGAGCAGGGTTCGAGTGTTTAGGGGTTTAGGGTTTAGGTTTTGGGGTGTGAGGTTTAGGGTTTAGGATTTGGGTCGTTGTGTGAAACAGCAAGCAGCCTTCAACTTCATCCTGTTGTCTTAATTCCTGGATCTGAGCTGCGGTCCATGCCGCTCCTCGCACATAGCGCCCCAATCAGACCATGGTGCACGGCCTCTACACTTATGGTGGCTTGTTGGCTGGCTTCATCACCAGCAATCCGCTATGCTGCCGCCCAGCGGTCGTACCTTGACAAGCGCAGGCCCGCATAAAAGTATCCTTTTGATGCCACTTTGCATGACAAAACAAAGGCCTACACGACCAAATTGGTCACGATCATGGATTCACTCCTGATCCGCCGCCGCCGTGCGGAGCTCGACTACCCTGACGCCCTCGGCTGCAAGTCGGAGTCTTACTCGCACAGCTCGAGGGGAATTATTCTTGCTCCCTTTACATTTTGTTCAGGTTTCGTAAGCCTTTATTTGTGTTTCAGCTGAGCTCATGGAACTTTGTCCTACGCAAGCTTGCGTAATTGGTTTCAATGGGCATGCTGCCGTCAGCTGGATGATGTACTGATTGGTTCTGTGCAAAGGATTACATCCTCTGCAGCAAGGCTTTCGCTTCTGCAGGGTACATGATCCGGTGCCCTGGCTCACTACGACGTTGCAGATCGAGATAATTGTCTGATAAGAGCTAAGCAGCCCTGCCTTGTTCAGGTGCGAACTCATCGCTTTTAGTGCCCAGCACTACAGCGAAGATGGCGGCCGTGGGCCATTAGATGCAGGCCGCATCGCTAAAGAGAAGAAGGCCAACAAGTTTCTTCTCAAGAGCTTCGGCGTGTCCAGCATCAAGGACATGACGGGCTAGAAGGGGCAGCATATAAGACAAAAGTACCATATTGCAGCATGTCAGGTGAGCTTTGCAGTTTCTGCATGCGACATGTCTACGTTTGGCAAGAGCGAAACTGAGTCTCTGGGAATCGCTGGGAACTTGTATGAGAACTGCCTTGCTGGGGGCCAGTGGCTTGAAAACCAAATGTTTACATGTCAGTGAATGCTTTCTCGCGCTTTACTGTAGTAGGGCAGACATGCCAGCTGCGGGGCAACACAAGACATGGACTGTTCAGGTTGCCCGCTGTCTTGTCCCTTCTGTGACGTTCATGATTGCAAATAATCTCGGAAACACTATTCGCGCTGCGCGTGATGTTTATCCGCAATGCCTCAACAGCATTGCACAAAGACAAAGTGGAAGAAGACATGAAGCATGACTGATGCAATTCGGAACCCGTAGCAAGACAGGTGAGAACTGCGGTTGAATCCAGATTTCGCCGCGACAGAACAAGGTGGCGGGGACACATGGCCAGGTGTTGCAAGTGCAACCTCAACATCCCGGAGCCCTAAGTCGGTATTGCCAAGACCAAGACATCACCAGACCCTCGCGCGGAGCATGAGGGGATTTTGACTGTGAGTACCACTATGACTGTGTTACGCTATTGCCACTTTGGCGGTTATGCCTGCTCTTATTCTTCTCAATATAGTAACATATCTTAAATTTGTATGGCGCGGGGCCTGGAAAGTGTCGAGTTTGAGGGTGTAAGGGTTCAGGGCTGGGTTTAGGGTCGTGGGTTCGTCTACTACGATTGCACGAGTCTGACGCTTCCAGCGCAATTACGGTCATTTAGGGATGCCTTTAGGGATGCCTAGGGTTAGCTAAGGCCAATGAAGGGGAAGGTAGTGTATGGGCGAAGCCTAAGTCCCAAACCAGAGTACAGTAGGGCAGGGGGGGGGCATAGGAGGGGAATCAGGAGTTTAGGGCTTTAGAAGGCCTTTTGTGGAACCTGGTAGGTGTTTGGAGTTCATTGCTCCGGTGTAGGGTTTAAGGTCCAGGGTCTAGGGTTTAGAGTCTTGGGTTTAGAGTCTCATGTTTAAAGTTTAGGGGTTGGAGTTTAAAGTTTACGGCTTGAGATTCTACGTGGACATCATGCGGACCAGGGTGCCAATGGAGCCCATTTATAGGAAACAATCGCCCGGTCATACATGGTGGTTTGGGGTAAGAAGGATACATGGAAGTGGAAAGGTGTATGTGGCGAGTCACCAAAATTCGGGGCCACTTTGGGTGGCTGCTACTACCAGGATAACTAACTTTAAGCCCTAAAGGCTAAACCCTAAACCCTTAACCGCCTCTACCCTTAACCTCATATCGGTGTTTATATGGAGGTCCCTCTACTTTAACTACCTTACCCAGTGGGGTCCCATAATGGCTTTCTAAAAGGCTCTAAAGGCCCCCAGATACTTTGGCTTCACCTGGTGGCACTTTGAGATTGCTTAATTGTTTATATCCTGTTTTCGTTGTATATGGGAAGCTGTTTTTTGCTTTGGGGTGGTGGGGGCGGCCTTTGAAGTACCCCCTTCCCCTTAATAAGGGCGCACTATGTCCTAAACCTTGAAAGCTAAACCCTAGACCCTACTCTGTGGGCAAAAAGATATGGGGAGGGGGAGCCCGGCAGGCCTTTTAGTAGATTAAATGCAGACCCCTGCTTAATAAACACCCTTTCCTGAATAGGGATTAAGATAGGGATCCTAGTATTTCGGCCCTTAATAGAAGGGTTTATTAATCATGGGTCTACATTAGGGTGTAACCCTAAACCCTAAACCCTAAGGGTACGTGACTTGCGGAACAGGCTGGAGTTAGAGGTTGTTTGCAGAGAGTTTTGGTTTGAAAGGTATGAGGCCTCGAGATGCTGAACATGGTAGTCCCCATGTGAGCCATAGTCTAAACTCTTTAAGGAGGTGTGTATATACATACATACATATATATATATATATTCGCATGTACATATATGGGGAATTATATAGTAAAGTATTATTGGGGTTACTCAGGGGGAGACCACGAGTTTAGACCTTAAACCCTAAACCCTAGCCCTATACTACTGGGGCCTCTTAAGGGGACACTAGGCTCATGTGTTTATTACCCACTTGCAAAGGATGCCAGGAAGGGATCCTTGTAGTAGTCCCTACATTACTTGGGTTTAGGGTTGAGGGTTTAGGGTTCAGGAATTAGGGTTCCATGATATTTTCATTCCCCTATTTCACCCCAAAATATACCCCTGGAAATCCCCAACCCTTAGCCTCGAACCCCCAAACTCCATGCGGACAGGATACCTGTATCCTCCTTGTCGCCAACCTCCTTCTGACCCCCGAGTCTGACCGGGAGGCGACTTTGTATTTAGGTCAATCCCCCTACCAAGGGAACCAAAACCCTGGAAATTCTTGGGGTTCCCTAATTCCCTATATGGGGATGTTATAAAGGACCCTAAGAATTTCCAGAGTTTGGGTTCCCCTAGTATAGCAATAGCTCCTTAATATGGAGTTAACAGGACCTTGAAAATATGCCTGCAAAAGACTCTTGTGATACCTAGTACTGGGTGGGGGATTGACCCAACTTTGTAGGGTTCTGGTCGGAGGGTCTAGGGTTTAGGGCTTATAGGGTTTTATACTTGGAGCGTGGTGGGGAAAGGAGAAAGACATGGAGGCCAGGTCATGGAACGGGATTTAGGATTTAGAGTTCAGGTGGGTTTCTGTGGGAGCTTCAACTGGTATAGAGGGAAGCTCATACGGGGATATAATCAACCCCCAACCCTAAACCCTATAACCTTACTTAGGGGCCCCTAGTCCCTGTATGACGCTTTATTATGCATATGGCTCGGGTCCCCTCTAAGCGGTAAAGGGGTTAGGGTTTAGGTTTTAGACTCCTCTATCGAGTTGCTCACGCCCGAGGAACGCCTATCTAATATTGAGAAATTCCAGCCATTGGCTTACCCTGAGCGATTCTGTGATTGGGGTTGACAGTCTCCTAGGATAGCATGAGGAATTTGGCGGCCCCAACCCCAGTCATACAATAGTCATACAGTTCTTATTGTGGCGGTGAGGACTGCCAAAATGCCCCTATCCCCGTACTAAAAAAAGAAAGATAGAGGTGAGCAACCACCAGCAACAAAATGCAGTCTCAACAATTCTGGATCTCGATCCTCTTAAAAAGGAAGTCCCTGGCGGCATTCTCCACTGGTGCATCCCCTCCTGCATAAATACACACGTCACCACGCAAGTGTCATGTCAAGCATGAGTTCTATATCATCCTCGGGTGGGTGCTCAGTATGATTGTCAAGGCTGATCTCTAAAGAGTGCGGGTCGTCTTCATAGTAAGAAGCTGCCGTGCAAGGATTGTCGCATTCCCATGCCGCGGATGCAGTATAGGTTGTCTCTTTTATTACCGTACGTTGCGTATACATAAGCTTTTGTCTTAACTCCTGGTATCCCCTTAACAAGCCCGATTATGCTCCGCTATGTAATCCCCATATCACACCCTTCAAGGAGTTTAGACTATAGCTCATCTTGCACTCTGTCAGTTTGTGTTGCATATCGTGGAGGTGTCAACTGGGGATTGGTCTAAATTCCCTATAATACGGGGTCCTATATTTGGGTTCCCATTATAATAGAAAACGGTGCTGGAAGCTTGTGATTGTGGAGATCGCGTTTGTATGCTTGGAAAATGGGCTTTTGTGATGGGGCGAGGATATCCATGGCTTCGCCATCAGACCATTCCACGAACTTTACATTCGACTTGTGATTCCCGGCCACACGCCAGTACACGCCGCTGCTGGTGATGACGATGAGGTGAGTGCGCGCAATGATCGCATCCATGTCTTCCTTGTCGTCAATGCCCTCGAATGATGGCTTTATGAGCTTGATGAAAGACTCATGGTTGATCTCGAAAATCTTGGACGACTTCATTTGCTTGTACATGGCCTCGTCTATGCTTTGATCATACGGGTTGTTGCATGCTTGACGACCTGCACCTTGCTCGAAATACGCGGATGAGTACCTAGCCCAAACGGTAGCATCTTCTTCCTTGATTTAATTTTTCGGCTACTCAACCCGTAACTTTTTAACTAAAATATATTCTAATAACTCTAATTCCCAACCCCCCGCTTCTCGATGCCAGAAATGGGGGGT